GATCTTGCTTTTTTTGTCATGAGTAACTGCAATCTACAAAAAGATCCATGAGAAATCCCTTTACTTAAAAAGAAGCTATGCTTTTCTTTATATTGAAGGCTGTGGATGTCTGTTCCAGCTTTTGATTGTGCTGTAGAAGGAGATATGCTTCCCCCACTAAGAAGCTTTCTTTTTTAAAAAAAAGTATAACATCAGTGCATTTTTTTTTTTGCGATATACAAATATTGACCCCTTCAACTCTAGGATGCTCATGTTGCTTTGCTCCCAAAGAACAGGAAAAGAACAAAGAGGCTGTGTAAAAGTGAACTAAGTGGTTGTTATGCTTTGTGGTAGAGGATACCACAAGGACACTAGGTGTCCTTGACTGAGTATATGAGACGGGCTCTGTTAGTGAGGTGAAGATTTGAAACTGGCAGAATATCATTTTCACTGCTGACCGCATATGACATAATGGTAATCTAAAACTGAGATGATAAGTCACACCAGGGCAACAAATACATGTGGTCACACGAGCAACCCCTGCAAGAGAGAGATCTACAAAAATGAGGAACATCCTTCAGCATTCACCAAATTCAGCTTGTCTTTGTCCATGAATCGTTATCGGGTTTGGCTCCTGTAATGATTTCCTACCCCTTAATAAAACTGTCCTCTGGGTCACATGACCTGGAAGAGGGAGGGAGGGGCTTAGCATGGAGAAGCTGGCAACATTTCCAGCCACAGCCCAAAGGAACCCATGGGGGTATTTTTTCCTGAATGTTCTTCCTTGCAGCCCCTGGCCAGATCCAGCCTATTTTTGAACTTAATCTTTCTTTTGTCAACTTTTGTCTTCTCCCCAACACCAATTTTGGTTCCATTCTCTTCAGCTTTTGGAGAGTGGTTAAATTGGTGAGAGGCAGAGAGAGTCCTGAGTCTCTTTCCATAATTTATTTCCAGCGTTCTTTTGGATTGGAAAGAATAACAAGGAAATGCTGCAAAAATGGGATTTGATCTCAGCATGTTACAGGAAACTCAGGTACATACATAAGAGTAGTTTCCTCTCTCCTTTCTGGGGCCATCAACTTTGTCATATTTATGGAGGAAAGATCCAGATGACATTGTTCTCCCTGTGTCCTCCCACTGATTCTTACACATTTCCCTTTTCCCTTTCCACTGTGCAGTCTATTAAGGAGAACAAAGGCAAACAGCTGCACGGTGCAAAATACTTTCATCAGCATCAAAGCCAGCAACTTTCACTGCTCAGATATGATCCAAAGGAAAAATTGGGCTGCTTAAAGATATGAGGTTGGTGCTTAACTCAGAATAATCTAAGCACCCATTATATGTAGAATGACTGCTCAGATCTCTGATCTTTCACTAAAAAAAAGTCATAGTAGAAAGAACCAGAAAACTAAGGATTAGAACACTAAAGATTTAAGACTAATTACTCCTCTCCAAGGGTGTTATGAAGTATAATTCCATACAGAGCTCCTAGCAGGGTTAGGGTTAGGGTTAGCATCATCAGCAGTTCACAGGGTTGTTATGATGGTTAAACTGGTATGCAAACTGATTTTTGAGTGCAATCCTATGCCCTCAGAAAATAAATACTTCTGAGTTCAAAAAGACTTATTCCCAGAAAATATGTGTAAGATTGAGGCCATACAATCTGTCCTTTGTCTCTTGTGCAAAAATAAACTGCTACCAACAATTCCAAAAGTCAGACTTTTGAAAGCAAAGATATCATGTTGTTCTTTGCACTTGCTGAAAGTTTCACGATGCACACTAAAATGTAGCTTCTTTTATACAAGATGAATGTCTTTAAGGTTCAAATTCCTGATCAGATGTTTAATTCCCAAGATGGCCTTGACTAAATTGTTTTCTAACCCTAATCTACCTCAGCAAGTTCAAATAAGGCTATAGTGTTAATCCAGGATTTTAGAAGATAGAAAGTTCGACTGATTTTGACCCTTATGATTTAACTGATCAGAGATATTTAGTTAGAAATAGGAAAGTGTTTAAATAGGCAATCACAAAAATCTCTCCTAGAGTGATTATAGCCTGCAGATTTTTGTCATATGGAAAAAGAGAGAGAGAGAACAGATTGCAAAAGAAAAAAAGGGAAAAATATTCAGGCCGATTTGCACATATATTCCAACAACTTGAAGATACCAGATTTGAGCTGCAAAACTCCAGATGTCCACATGATGGCAATGAAGAGATACAGAAAACTCCCTGATGCCACCTTGGAATCATTCAGGGTTTTGCAACCCAAATCTGATAGCTCTACATCATTTAGTTTATTATATTAAAAGGAATTTGGGAAACCACTAATTAAAACTTTAGGAAAATGGTGAGCATGTATTTGGTTCAGGATATTTTTTTTCCCCACTGTGTGGTGCAGCTATATACAAATCCTGCTTTCAGCTGTAGCAAATCAAAACCACTTTGGAAACATGAAATTACTGCTTTTTTACAAAGCCAGTACCAAATAGAACTATTCCCCAGCAGCAGAAAACTTCTAAATGAAAATAGCAACACTCTTCTATTTCCTATTCTGAAAGTTCTTATTGATTTGGTTCTAATTAATGTGAATAATGAAATGTTCTGAAGTCTTACCATCCATAATATAAAAATAAGAAAATCAGTTAGGTGTAAGAGTGGGCTCATATTGTACACACACCTCAACTTATTGTTAGATGTTCTTCTGTCCCCCACCATGTTAAAAAAATGAGGTACTAAGACTGAAATAACATCCAAGGGATCCAAAAGAAAATATTGAGACTTTGATTCCTCTTAGATAATGTTAATAATGGCATTGCTTAGCTGGTGAAGTTATTTGGAAGAGGACAGGATGAATAGGGAGGAAACCCCATCTCCAACCTCATAATAGATCCATGCCACAGGAGTTCAAGGCTACGTGAGCAAGCATCCACTAATATTTTGAAAGAGCATAGAGTTTGATTGAGAAAATTGTTGAAACCGCATAAAATTATCAGCACAGTTTTCATGGTGCATAAACTATATTTTATATAATGGTTTCGAGGGTGAAAGTAGAGCCAACCCCTGGTACCTTCATGGATGCAGCCATGTAGTCTTTGGGTCAACAATATGGAAGTAGCTTTCTCTTGCCTTCTGGGAAGCTCTTCAGCTTCCCAGTCATGACCACAAGCCTGGGATTCTCCAGTGGTCTCCCATCTAACTCCCAACTGCAGGGTTGATCACAAGGTATGGTCAAAAAAGTCAAGATGGCAGCCACAATGGTGCAGTTGAAGCTCCACTTGGTTTTCACATGTGAAAACCAGGCAGAGTTTTGATCACACCATCTTGACGTTTTCGACCATCCCCTGCATTGTAGACCTGACACACCCTCAGCTAACTAGACCCAACCTCATTTTGCTTTATGAGACTGATCAAGGTTGGTGAGATGTCTCTACCCAGGTGGCATAAGACAAAGTCAAGTCCTGATGACTCCTCAGCATGAACACGTTGCTACTATTTTTGATGAGGACCTCCCCCCCCCAAAAAAAGTCTTCCTAGTCTAGCCCACAACAACAAGATTTCATCAGCAGCATTGATGGGTCCCTTACATGCTTCCTGTTTTTTCCCCTTTAAGCTCCTGTCAACAAACAGATCTTTCCCTGCGCTTCGGGTCCTGTCTTGTCTTAACTCAGCCCAGTGGAAAAAAGAGAGACAAAGAAGCAAACTTTTTTTTTTGAAAAGGTGCACCGTCGCGATTCCATTGAAGACCCTCAGAAAAGATATCAATCGAGCGTTTGCGCATCGCTCCCGGCTTCGCGTTCCTTCTTCCTACTTTCCCGAAGATTGTGATTGGCTCAGGGACGAAATGTTAATTAATTGGCTCCCAAAATAGACAGCGCCGGGCACGCACAAGGACGCGCCGGCCGGTTCCTGCCAAGCGCTGGAAGCTGGACCGGTAAAGTTAGGAGGGTCAAGGTCCTAAGCCCTGCGCCAGCGGACAGATCCCTACGGACCGGGACGGAACAAGCCAGGGAATCCTTGGCTTCCTTCTCAAACGGCTGAAGCGATCCCGCCCCGATCGGAGCGCGGAGATGGACCCCCGCGCAGGCAGAAGCGGCTCGTCGAACAGCTGGAGGAGCTCGCTCGCCTATGCACGTGTAGGGCGGCCGGCCGGCCGGCCGGCCAGAGGGAAGATCACCGCTAGCGTTACAGCCGTGCGCCTTTTTCAAATTACTGGTGGGATGCACACACAGACCCAGAGGCACGCACCCATATACACCCAGGCGCCCATTATATAACCCCCACGCGCGTATGTTTCTGGTTGTATACACGCACACACATACAAACACACACACAAACTCTGCAGGAAACGAAACACACTTCGGCTGGGTCTTTTCCAAGACATCCAGCCTCTCCGTAGCGCGGAAAAGAGCACACTGGGGGCATTTCTCTGCGATCCCAACGGGTCAAAGTTTCGTTTGGGGACTCGGAGCAGGTCAGCTGCCCAGATTTGCCTCTTGGGTCCCGTTCAGCTGCTTTCTCCGGCCGCCGCCGCCGCCACTTTAGAGGGAGTCGCTTTTAAACCTGTCCCGGGAAGAGGCGTCCCACCACAGACTTAACCCCTGCGCCGCCAGGTTTCTTCTCCCGCTTCTCCGCTCTCCGACTCTCTCCGCAAAAGCTGGCCCGGCAGCAACAGCAGAGGACCCCAGCAAAGTTGTTGGACCCCCACCTCGCCCGACCACAGACCCTGACGCGGTTTCTTCTAAACGCCCAAACCCCCACAGACACGTGCGTGCGCGTCTCCACAACCGCAAGAGAACAGCCTCATCGCCCAACCCAACCTGGTCGGACAGATGCTTGCTCTCCACCCAACGCACCTCGCGGCGTTTACCTCGACACGCCCGCGAGCGCCCAGACCTCCCCTCCCCCCGCGTACACGCGTGTGCGCGTCTCCACGACCAGCCCCCCGCAGGCTTTACCTCGGCGAGCCGAGATCCGCGAGCGTCGGATCACGAGAGCGGCGTCTCGACGAAGAGCAAACTAACCTGCCAAAGGGATGGCCAGAACGGAGTGGAGGAAGAGTCCGAGAGGCAAAAGCTGGTGGGTCCACATGGGTGGGGGGGGCCTGGCTACCTGGCTTGGTGTGGAGGGGTGGGGACCCTGTTCCCTCTTGGGGGGCACTATCCACAGGTCCCCAAAGGTGGCAGAGACGGCAACAGAGAAGACCGAGAGCGGCGAGCTGCTATTTATTGCGAGCAGCCCAGTTTTTGGTGTGTGGTTAACTGGAAAGCACTGGGTCCCAACTCCCTCTTACGGTAAGAAAGCGCTTTAACAGCGTCGCCCCCACCGCCGCTCTCTCCCCGCCTTTCCTCCGAGCCAGCCCAGGCGGGGAGGGAGAACCGAGGGGCACAGGGACCACCGCAGCGCAGCCAGCAGGCCGGCGAGGGCCCACGTTTCCAAAGGGGGCTGGCGCAGGGGGGACCCGCGTCCCAGTCCTTCAGGCGACACGGAGAAGCCGCTCGTGCTCACGGACGGCTGGGATCTCCGGGGTTGTAGCAGCTTAATCGATCCGGGATCATAGCTTTGGAGGATTTATATTTTTTTAAGAACTCCCTGCGTGTAGACAGCTAGCACGTCAGCCCAAAGGGGTTGATTTGGCATTTCATCCATCATGCTCTCCCGTCTATTGAGAAAGTTGGTTGATGTTGAAGATTTGAGATTTACTTGGTACCCAGTCGGATCAAAAGTCCTGGTATTACAAGGAGATCCCTTGTGATACCTGGATTAGTTCTAAAAAAAGGTGACGGGAAGGGGGTGCTTTGTAACAGAGGTCTCTGCTATTTCTTTGTAGGGCATCAGATCTGGCTGGGCTGCAAGAATTCAGACAACCAGAGAGAAACAGGCAGACAGACAGACACTTCTCCGTGTCTGTTTGTCCAAAGTTCTGCAGCCTCAGGTAGACCCCATATCAGCCAAATGAATAGCAACTGGCTCAATCCACAGCTGGCTCAATCTGGGTACAGAATTAACCCAGTTCTCAGATCCACACAGCTCATGGAACACTTATGAATAACCAAGCTTAGTGTATGGTTCAAATCCATCTGCTAGGAGTTTCATTGTTCTAATGCCCATGACTCTTGTCTGCATTACAGTACATGCCTTAGGAAGAGAGGGGAGGATGGAGTAATGCATAACTATTTATTCATTTTTATTTACCGTTGTTTATACCGATAATCAGCCACTTTCAAAGAATTGTTCTTCTGAAAACCAGCAGATAAATAATTGTGATAAGTAAATGATAATCCAAACCCACACATCCATTTCTTCACCACCTGTAAAGATTATTTTAACTGCTTACTCCAAAGCCCACACCTGAATTCTACATAAAAATATTAAGTTTCCCTTGAGTCAACATAATCCTGTTGATTATATGTCTAATTATCTTGGCAACATCATCTTCTCAGACTTTTTTTTTTTTTAACTTCCCAGGCTAACCTCAAACTTGGATTTCCTTGAGGTCTCCCATCCAATTACTAACCAACTCCTATCCTTCTTACCTTTCTGAGATCCAATGATGTTGGCTGGTGCTGCCAGTCAATCATTTTATTTGCAGCATGAGTGCCACCCATCTTGTTTGCTTTTTTCTTTTGTTGTATTTAATTCTCCTTTTATCCAATGTCATAAACGGTGTTTCCCCTGCCAGGTAAGTACTGTATAATTTATGTGCAATTTTTCCATTTTTAAAAAGATGATCTTTTCTACAAATAAAAAAAAAAAAAGATGCAATATTTTCCCTCCGGCACAGATTTTATGATATTTTACAATCAGAGTCTTTTTTTCTTTTAAATTTGAAATCTTCATATACTGTTTAGCTAATACTGTTTGTAATGTTCTCCCTTTCCTCTCTCATTTCATTTGTTATTGTTTAACTTTGTTTATTTTTGCTTATACTTTGTTTCTGTACTTGGTTTTTTTTTTCTTTTGCGTAATTTGGTTGTTTTTTTAAAGCTTGCAGTAAAATAAATAAAGTTTATTTCTTTAAAAAAATCAACATTTTTTTCCCCTTGATTTCCTCATAGATAGGGCAGGAGAGGACATAAGGAATAATGTCTTCTCCTTGGCCAGAGGTACTATTCCACTGGATGTTTACAAAATTTCCCTTCAGGGTATATGAAAGGCATGGTCTGAAAACAAACATAAAAGCCTTCCTTAAGGAAACATGAGTGATGTTGACCAAATTTTGGGACAGGCTTCTCTGTTTCTTATAAGGTGGTACCAAGATGAAGACTTTGAAGATTGTACCACCATAGCATCTCTTCAAACATCCCATTTGAAAAGTTTCTCTCATGTTTTCACTGCTCCAAGAACTAAGATCCTCTAAAGAAGACAGGGAATATAGATATAGGATAAGAAACTGGAATTTGCTGTATTGATTTCTACCCACACGATACATACATACATACATATGTATGCATGTATGTATGTACAATTTAACTAAGTACAGGCTTCTAATTTCTTGTAGCACCTTAACAGTGCCAAGCTATTTTCAGGACCATCTGTCTCCAGTTGCTTCTGCTTGCCCTGACAGATCTAACTGGGAGGACAGGCTTCAGATCTCCTATATTAAATAACTTCATCTCCCTTAACATCGGAATCATGACTTCTCTTCTACAGCGTTTGCCCTGTGAAGCAGCACCCCCCCCCCCCGCAAGATTCACAAGGCCCTCACCCTCTCAACCTTCCATAAGGCACTTAAAACCTGATTTCTCTTACAGACATTGGGCTGGGAAGTTAACAAGTTCTGCTGATTGGTGGGCTTTAACTGCTTTGTGTGGGGGGGGGGGGGGGTTGTTTCTGGCCCTGAACCTTGGGTTATGTGGATGACAGGTGAATTATTTTATTGTGGTTTGATTTGAACTTGCTATACACCATCCAGAGTCATCATGATGAGGTGAGCGGCCATATAAATTGTTTAAATAAATAAGTTTTGCAAGGTGAATTCTTATGGCAAATTAGCTCCCATCCTAAAACAGGCAGAAGGAGACTTTTAAAAGGGTCCCTGAATCTTCTTCCTTAGGAAACTGTTCTACTAGCTTTGCCCCAACTGGGCAATGATCTTCTCATCCCACACCCAAATCTCATCCCCATATAACATCTGACTTTTCACCTTGGCAGGAAGTATTCTGAGTATGGTTGCTCCTTTTAACTGATTTTTATTGAAGAAGTTTTTTACAAAGTAAAAACAATACAAATGTAAAGGAAAAAGAAAAGAAAAGAAAAGGAAGGAAGGAAGGAAGGAAGGAAGGAAGGAAGGAAGGAAGGAAGGAAGGGCTTCCAATCTTTGTGCATACAATAATCTCGCTGCAGTTACCATGTACAAAAACAATTGTCCATAAGTCTTTTCTAGTTATCTGTCCATTAGTCCCAGCAAGAAAAGTTCTGATTTCATTTGAATAGCAATCTTTAACTTTTTTGTATCACTGTATATATTTGAACCCAAAATTTTCTAGCTTTTTTACAAGTTCACAATCCATAAAATAACTCTTCATGTTTTCCACATTTCCAACACAGATTTGAAGTACTGTTATACATAATAAAAAGCTTTTCTGGTGTCATATACCAACAGTACATCATTTTGTAAAAATTATCTTTTAAATTATAACCTAATGTGAAAAAGGCACCTTCCTTCAGGAGCGCCTCGTCTAGCTGGCTGAGTTTACCTGTGAGATTTTTCTTAATCTCTCTCCTTTTGGTACACATTTTTGTCCAAGATCCAGCGGGGATGAGATGCTGGGAAAGCCTGCATCGATATGTTTTCCTCCAGAAAGTCATTTCTTTTCTCCTTCATTGCTTTTCTTCCATCCATGTTGCAAGCCTCACAGAAGAACATCCTCCTGTGTACAAACTGTGAGCCAAAAAAGAAAATTAAATGGAAGTGAAACTTGTAGTGCAATACTAGAGTTGGCTAGAACGGATAACGTTCATTGTTTTCATTTAGAACAGTCTCAGATTTCTTCCTAGTTCCACCCCATACTGTAGCTGGCAAGGAAGTTAAAAACAAGACAAACGTGGATGCCTTTATGTTAAATCACTTATTTCCTTATTATTGGCCTTTTTGTTATTAGACCATTGGCAGTACAGAATTTAAAAAGTAAAGTAATCCACCAAAATAAACGTCAGCAACTGGCAGTTTTTCTATCTTTCGTAAACTTCACACGAGTCTTTGCTAAGGCCTTTAAAAGAAATTGCAAGTTTTTTTACATATCCTAAAATCCTTATTAAAAAAGGAAAGCTACCATATTTACAAGTACTGTATAGGCAACTTAGAACATATCTGAAGTAAACTGGATAAACAATAAAAGGACTATTAAGTAGTGCAAAAGGTATCTCACTTGGAGAGTTGATTTAGATACTTAATTCTAAATTTAAAATCATGTATTTTCTTCCCCAAAAGACACCCAGCCAAACCAGCAGTCTCCGAGGAGTTATTGATACCATTCAGCATCACCACTTTGATTGTCAGTCACAGCGGGGTCCCTAAACCAAGGGAGGCAATTTCCTTGATATTCAACAGCTCCCTGTTTTCCATGACATTTTCAGGAATTCTTCAAGTTGGCATTTATTTCTTTGATTGCATTTCTAGCCATCCCAATCTCCAAAGATTGATGCTTTCAAAGCAGTTTAGAATTGTACCGAAACTGCCATTAGTTCCGCAGATATTCCTTCTTCAAGAACATGTTCTTCTCGCCTCTCTGTTCTTCTCAAATAATGCTTTGTACTCATTTATCCAAAGGAGACAATCCTTGGCCTTTATTTCCACAAATGTCTTTTTTAAAGGGGAAAGACAATTGTGGATGCACATACAAGTTCACATGAGAATTCTTCAGAAGCCCTGAAATGTATGTTGTATGTTGTCATTGCCTTATTCTCCTCTTGTCAGTAAAATGTAGAACTTTATCGATTCTCAGCACTGTTCGCCCAAACAACAAGCCTGAAAATGTAAGGTGAGACATCGGTTTCTGCCTTTCATCTTCTGTCAAGCATTCCTTTAGCCTCTACAATCTCTGCAATTTATTTGTTCTCTCTTAATTTCCTAGACATCAATCTTAACTATAAGCTCCC